TATGATATCTTTAAAAATCTCTGTCAAATATTGCATAAAACTCTCTCTGCTTTTAATTTACATTTCTTAATTTTATCATCCTAGCTAGTTTGAAAACAGTTTCCTTCTGAGTTTACCATTAAAAATGGTAAACATTTTTAAACTTCTCAATTAATTCCCAGACATTGTTTAACTTCCCAGTTTCCTGTCTGGTCCAATCAATTAACAAACTAATTCCTTCCTCAGAACCATTCAACTTACTGTGAATATCGACTGGAGGTCAGGGGGACTATGAATCCAATAAAATGCCTTCATCCTCAATACCCTCCACTAAGTTTAGTCCAGTTGGTGACTATTTACCAGCAATTACTGTACCGTGCTGTGCATTTTTCTCATTGCTTGCAATTATGTCAATTCTGACTGTTCTAGAAATTGAAAAAGAAAGAGCAAGCTGTGTGTTACATTCTTGATAGTTTAGAGTCTGTGTCTGTATTTTGAGATTGGAAAGTCTGAGAAGAAGTTATTAAATGGAAACTTTTAACCAAGTAAAATCAGAGAGTAAAAATAATTGCCGGCATAAAGAACAGAAGTAGCAAAGACAGGAATGTCTGCAACAGCACTGAATGACAAGCAGTTCAGAATGAATAAAGCAGAAAGCTGTGTTTGAGAATACTGAAAAATAAAAGTGAATTTACAGTTTACTTAGAGAAGACAGAAGTTTGCTCAACTTTATAATGTCCAAATTTAAATAGAAAAGTGAATAGTCTTGACCTAGTACCTTCATTAGCCCCAAATTGTCACTAGCTGAGCTCTCCAACCTAGACAATACTCACAATTTTAAGTAAAAGATGAATAATAATTAACAATTTCAAGACATTAGGCAAGTATCTTTGTTATTCTTTGAATCCTGATTTCCTTATTTGTAAATTGGAGGTGAAAATCATAGCTTCTTCATAAGGTTGTCATGAGCGTTAAATGAGATACTTAGGACAGTACCTGATATACAAGAAATGATCAATAAATGCTAACCTGGCTGCAAAATCTATTCCAACTCATAATGACTCCATGTGTGTCAGAACAGAACTGTAGTCTGGGGCAGGGCAGGTTTCAGTAGCTGATTTTTTAGATGTAGATTAGTAGGCTTTACTTACAAGGCACCTCTGAGCAGACATGAACCATCAGGTTTTCAGTCAAGAGTGAAGACTGTACTAACCAAGGAACTCCTCCATAAACACAAAATCCAGTTGTCAATGAATTCATGCCAACTCATGGCAACCCTAAGCTAGTATTTATGTGTAGCCCTAGTCACACTTAGCCCAGAGATGATGGGGGAGAGGGTGGGTTCCATGATCAGTGAGAAAGCACGTAGGGAGAATTCTTCTCTCAGCACTTCACTATTATCAGCTGTAAACATCATTACTGTAAAAATTATGATCCACAATCAAGGGGCCATTGCTTTCAGTAGTTGGTGCAGTTTCAGAGATAGAATTACCCAATCCACTCACATTTGAAGTCATGACCTGAACATATGAAAGTAATGATAACCTACCAGGATTTCCAATCATGGAAAAATACAACGCAGGAGAAGTCTATCAATTTGGAAAAGTCACAACTTTCAAAAGCTTTAGCTTCCTCATTTGATAAATAGCAGTAATACTTGCTTCAAAGAGATTTGTAGAAATAAAACAAGGGCTTTTCTATAATGCACTTAAATTCTTAAATCTACAAACATGGAAAGACTAGAGATTCTTCCATCAGTGGATACTTTGTTGGGTCAAGGAAGGGTCTCCTTTGTCCGAAGCTTACTAGGGTTAAATATTAATACTAACAAGACTTTCCACACACAATACCTATTGTTTCAACTTGACAAATATACCTTAACCTAACAATCTAATTTGCATCTTGCAGAGTGAGGTTGCATAGTGTCACTGTACGGCTATTCCCTGACATTCTTCACTTTCATGATCCATTACTCCCAACTCCATTCATCCTAAGAAAATCTGTATCTTCATATGCTGTTCTCTCTGTCCCTTTTTCCTGAATAAACATCGTGAAGTAACCTGATGCCACTCTACTTGTTAATTGATCAGACATGCTTTGGTTTCTTATGTCGTGGTTGCATTTTCAGTTCCATTCTCTTACTTAGAAACCAAAGAGAATTCTTTCCTACACTTTCCTGCATCAGCAGTTTAGAAAGCATCACATTACTGATCAATGTTTGCTGGTTAAAAACCTTTGCTATTATTCTACTCCTTGTTCCAAGCCCTCTCCATCTCTGTCCTACAATTCAGACTTTCATTGACTCAGTCCGTGAACATGCCTCTCTCCATTTCCATGAACATTCCTTTGTATCTGGGGTATCAAACTCTCCTCTATCTAATAAAGTAACTCAGCTTTGCAGAGTTGTGGCCCCTAAAAATATATATTGACATCCTCACCTTTGCACCAAGGAATAGATTTTACTTGAGAAACTAGGGTTAGTCTTTGTAGATGTTGTTAGTTATCATAACATAACTGTGCTGTGCTCTCTAATTAGGAGCCTGCATGGAGTAGTGCATTACGTGTTATACTCCTAGCGGAAAGGTCAGTAGTTCTAATCCACCAGTCCTTGTGACAAAAGATGGACAGTTCCCTCCTGTTAAGCTTTGGAAACTTGGTGGGCAGTTGCCATGAGGAAGAATAGACCCAATGGCAGTAGGTTTGGTTTGGGGTACCTGACAGTACACTATAACTAGTGGAGGAATTTTTGTTGTTGTTGTTGTTGTTATGTGCCATCGAGTCGCTTATGACTCAGAGCAACCCTATGCACAAGAGCCCTTAACCCTTCTCTATCCAGTGCCAACATCACCATCTCCAACACACTCACTCCCACCACCCCAATGACAGAATCAATCCATCTCATCAAGCGTCTTCCTCTCCTGCACCGTCTAGTAACTATTTAAAGTGACCCATAAGTGTGTGTTGCATGAAAGGATGGAAGAAATAAAGATATGCTTTCAAGTCCTTGAAGAAACCTATCTTTCTGGGGCAGGAAACTTTCACCTTCCTTCCCTTTCTCTGAACAACTTGCCATCCCATCCTTTACCTCAAGGTCTTTAAATGTAGGTTATAAACTTCACAGATTGTATGATGTGATTTTATTCATGTGCTGCCATTTTTTTTTATGGTGAAGCACTGGAACACGGCTCTATTTTTTCCATTTTTTTCTCACCTATTTCCTCTCATTTTCAAGGTGTCTATGGAGACTCTTCTAGTAGAAGTTGTCATTCATCGGCAGATGCATGTACAGACTGGTGAGCACAAAGGCACAGCCAGCTTACTGGAGATAACTTTTCGGACAAAGAAGAGCATCATATCCTCACTGTTACTACTAGTTCTTACTTCATGGTTGGGAGAAAGAGAATTAAGATCTCTCTTAGTGACTTTTTTTCTATGCTTCCTACTTTGATCTCTCTCAGTGATTCCCAGCATTGAGTGATATGGATTAAACAATATCAAACTTGTATTTTTTTTAAAGCACCTAAGGCTCCACATCTGAACCTCAGCTAGCCCCCGCTCATTTCCCAGTCCATCCATCATGTCTCTTCTTATCCCAGCATCCAGCCATTCATCTTCCAGTGGAGGTAACATCTCTCACATCTATGTTCCAGATCATCTTTCAACCCAGAGGAAACTGAGGGGGGTTGACTTTCTTTCAAAGAACAATTTACACAACTTCAGCCACTCACCTCTTTTCTGTTGTCAAAGATCCAAGATGTGAGAATGAGAAATATGTTACTATCCCACTTCCATCACCAGCACCACACAGTTGTTCAGAGGTTTGAACCAAAGCCACTCAGTATTTCTATAAACTCTATGCCTCTTTCTTATTTAAAAAAAATCAAACAACAAACCACCAAAAACATAACAGTATCCATTCAAACTTGAAACAAAAATGACCAAGACTTGGATGTTTGGTTATCAAGCACATTCTATGTGGAACATATTCTTTGCCTACAGGAATATTTGGTAAGATGAACGTCAATTCTAGAGGGACATTTCTTTTTACATTGAGAAGAGAGAAGAGATGACTCAATAGGTCTAGGTAAATCCACATCAACACTGGTTTATATATCTTTTCTTTTTTAAAGAGGAATTTTATTATTTGTCAAAAGCTATCGGTTCAAATAAGAAAGAAAGCCAATTGTCTCAGGCCCTATTTGCACATTACTCTTATATATCCTGATCCTTGGGCATCCCCCAGAGGTCACCAAAGAGCTATTTCTTTATTTAGAACACAGTGATGTAAGAAATCCTGGGTCCCTCTGTCAGAGTGATTTAAATGCCACCAACAGGCTCTACTCTGTTCCTGGAAGCACAGGAGCGGATGGCCTGTATTCACTGTCAGTAATTGCTCTTGAACAAATCTAAGAACAAACATGCTAACAAGCAGAGTAGCTCAAGAGTTAATTCAGGAGTTTCAAGCACCATTGTCAGATCCTCATTTAAAAGAAAATGGCTGAGGTTGAGCCACCCTCAGACCACAGACAGTACCAGGTTTTTAGAGTGCTCCAAGCCAGCAAAAGAAAAGATAATGGTAAATTTGACTAGGCCTCTTGGACGCACTATGGTCCTCCAATTGGCATCCACTTCCTAAACAACATGCGTCTGGAAACTCTATGAACTTTGAAAAATGTCGATAGTTATAGAAAGGCTTCAAGCCTTTTGTTCATAGGGTCACTATGAGTCATGCTCAACTTAAAGGCAATCAATAACAATCATAGATTTGAAAGATGTAGTTGCAACTTTCTGTATTAGAATTAAGCTGGCATATAAACACAACACAAAATTCACTGATACAGTTCCATGAATCACAGACCCTAATATAAGACATGCTTACTGGGATATATGCTTTTTTAAAATGCCATTATGATAACATCACCCACAACCAGACTAATTTACAGGCCATACTTTTCTAAAATAGCACTATTTCAAGGTATTGCTTCTAGCTGGGATCCCAAATATTCACCCAAATAGCTTACCTTCTCAAAGTCTCGAAGGGCTTGGGTCTGCACCTGAGGCGGCTTTTCAAATGCCCTCAAGGACTGCGTCTGTCCAAAGGAAAACTTATCACCACTTCTCCAGGTATGTGAATGTGATGGAGGACCTCGATCTTTCGTGTCACTAAGGAAAGCTATCAGTGAAAAAGAAAAACAGAAATATTTATATAACAATGACAGTATGATCAATCTAATCTGCACATTTTAGCCCAACTTGGTTTCTGAAAACTACAAACTAACTGTAAGCTTCATAGAAAAAAATTTACATAATGTGTGGTAGATGGTATTGATGATGATCCCAGTTATCCACAGTAATTTCTATCCATACTTATTTAAAATGTATTATCCCTGCTATTCCCATCAGGAAGAGAGTCTGGTCCTCCTTCCTGTTATTCTGGGTTGACCTCGTGACTCGCTTTGACCAACAAAATGTAATGAAAACATCATTGTCTAATTTCCAGAGACTAAGTCTTGAGAGACTTTGCATTTTCACTCATCTGTTCTAGAACCATAAGATCAGTATAGCTGAGGAAGTCCACTATAGTCAGCCAGCCAAGAAAAAGAGGACACGCCAAGTAAAAAAATTAAAGATGCCCCAGCTGACAGGCAGTGACCAATTGTTGGACATGAACAAGACCATCAAGGACCTCAGCTCCAGTCAAGTCTCTGAATGACTGAAACCACCTGCTTGATTCCAGGGGAGACCAACATAAAAAATAAAACATGATGACATTTTGCCTTTTCTATCCTTTAGATGGCCTTTGCCCAAGTTTAAATTCATTTTCTTCAGTGAGGCACAGAATCACCCAGTGTCTGCGTTGTTGTGACTTGCCCTGCTTACCAAAATACAGAATTTTGAGAGATAATAAATCACTTCAGTTTGAAGCCAGAGATAGGTAAATTTTTGCTTAAAGGACAAGACAGTATGTACTGTCAGTGGGTCATGCAGTCACTGTCACAGCCACTCAACTGTCCTTGTAGCTCAAAGCAGATGTAGACAATAGGTAAACAAACGGTCATGTTGCTGTAAAACATATTTACAAAAACGGACTGCAGGCAAAGGGTCAGTTTGCTGATCTTTACTTTAAATCCCTGAGTTTTTAAAGAGTTTATTGCATGACAAAAGGAAATAAAAATAAGGGGAAGTTAAAAAAAGGTACATGAATGAAACAAATGTAAACAAATTATTGTATTCAAACCAATAAACTTTTTACAATATAATAAAAATAAGCCCTTAAAAATCAAACTACAGGTAAAATTTATTTTAACAACTCCATCTACAGAGACTCTTTTAAGAATAACCATTGTAACAACCAGCTGAGCAAGCTGTAATTGTTAACAATCTCAATCTCTTCTCCATGTATTGTGGTCCTGTCAATTGGCCCAGCAGTGAGAATCTTCATCTTCTTGATGTAAAGCTTCAACCCACACTGAAGACTACAGTCCCTGACCTTCTGTGACCAATATATATTTTTCAAAAAAGAATGAAGAATATAACAACATATGGAGCTTCAGAGACTGTGCTGGTATTGGTACTTTCACTGTGGGAAACATGAACTGAACAAAGCCAAAGGAGATCCCAAGAAGCCAAGAGACAAAATTCCACCTCACACTTTTCCCCTTTCCTTTGTCTTCTCCAAAGTTTCCAGAAGGAGCACAAGACAAAAGACAAACAAACAATAATAATCGGATGCTTCAATCAACTTTTCAGAATTTAAAAAAAAATACTTGGAAATTCAGAAATCCACACCTGCTAAAAAGAAAGGAAAATTTGAAGACATGGTAAAGGTGACTCAGGTCCATTATCAAAAAGAAACAAAAACTTTAACACCTATATCCTCCCTACCTGATTAAAAAGAAAAAAGAGAGAGAGAAACAGAACCTGATTAATTCGGGATTTCAATGTACCCAAAAGATATCCTTCAGCCTTTTTGTTTTGTTTGGTTCCAAGTGTTGCCCCAAAATTGAGAAAATCATGCTCTATCTACGATGTGGTAGAGACATGGTTTAGTAATAGCAATAGAGAATAAACAGCTTTTTATTTTATTTTGAGGGAAGACTTCAGATAAAATATACATGTAGATAAAGGTTGTTGCTGCATTCTAGACTAGGTTGTTTTTGTTTGTATCTGTGTCCTGTCTGGTCAGAATCGACTCATGGCTGACCCTCTAGCAAGTGTGTAGAGGCAAAGAATCACAAGGGAGGAGATTACCCATCTTTCCCCCTTGTAGCAGTGGTGGATTTAAATCCTGTGCCTTCGAGTTGGCAGTGAAGTTCTTTGCACACTAGACCACCAGAGCTCATTCTGAACTAAAGGAGAGTATAATTTAAAGGAAGGGGGACCTCGAGATTAGGGGAAGTTGATTAGATTAACAAGGTTGGAGGAAAAACAAGGATTAGAAGAAAGACAAAAAGGTTCAGGAAAATCACAACAAACAGCAAGATGAATAGTATGAATCTGAAGGGCAAAATGAATGATACCATTGCCATTTTTCCTTTTTAGGAAGCATTTTGTGTCATTATTTTTAAAGAAAAAGAGTTGAATGTAAGATGGTATGATTTGTTTTAAAATTGCATATAGCAAAATATTCTTTTAACAAAAGTAATTCATGTAGTGTGCTTTCGGGCACCGAGGGAGGGGACCGAGGAGTCCCAGCGGGACACAGCGGGGGCCTGCGGTGCGCTGAGGCTCGTGGGGGGTGCCGCCCCCCAAACC